GTACACCATCCAGCCACCTCTCACCCATTCCCTGATCTCAGTTCAAGCCCCACCTCTTGTGAGACAAGGTCCCATCCCTCTGTAATGTGCTCTCACTGCACCCTGCTCTCTTTTGTGGTATTAAATAAAAATTATAGGAGGCCATTGTTTTGGACAAAGCTAGGCCCCAAAAAACTAGACTAAAAATTAAAATGGAGCCGCTTTCACCAAACTAAAACTAAATTTGTTATCAACCTTCAGAGAAATCGAGAGAGAGAGAGAGAATTTCCCAAATAGGTCAGTTTCAATTGGCACGAAAAGCAAGTTGCCCTGCCTTTAACCTTACAAAAAAGGAACCTGATGTTAAACAGCTGGTTATTTTTCTATTGTTCTATTTCTTGTTCCTGCCTTACAAGGAAACTAATTTTAAAATAACCAGTTTACTTTTGTTTTGTGTTTCTGCTTTCTTCAGGCCTTTCTATAAAGCCAATCTCCTCTGCCCAGCTCATTGGCACGCTGATTATATTTTATGAAATAAAGTGCTGCCCAATTCTAGAACCACAAATAAAGTTAATTAAGATCTTTAAACTAAACCTGTTCTGATTTTGTCTTTTGACAGTGGCATTTTTCCTGGACGGTAAATATATATTTATTTCTAAGAGTATGGATTTAAAATAGCTCAGCCACCTAATGTAAGCTCAGGTGGAGAGGGACGTACGTGTAGGTTTTACTCACCTGGTATATAAACAAGAATTCAATAAGTATTTGTTGATTCAATGAATAACTAGTTGATTTATCCCCTAACAGTGAAAATGGAACTTGCTAGAGATGGGGTTTATTTGAGCTCACTAAAATGAAACAGAAAGGAACTGGAGTCCACTGGAAATGTGAGCCAGGCGGGGTAGAGAAAGCTTGGGAGAGAGAAACAGAATTCCTCAGAAAACAGAAGTTAGCCCAGCTTGTTAGTCTAAAGGTCCCCCATATAGGACTGTCCTCCTATCACCTAGAGGACATTGTGCCCAGAAGAGAATAAGGCTGGTGCTTGAGAGGGTTCTCACTTCAAGCCCAAGGTGATCTGAGTATAAATTAGCAAAATTAGGCAATCCTCAAGTTATTTTTAGTGGGAGGTGCCATTTCAAAAATCTAGAATAAGAGAAAGCCTTTACAGCTAAAAGGAACTTAGGGAGTTCTTCAGGCATGCCCCACCCTAAACTTTCTGCAAGCAGCAATAAACCACACCTCAGCTCATGGGATTTTACAACCCCTCTTTGTTTCCTGGTCCATTCTCAGGAAGAAATACTTTATTTGGAGGGGAGAGGGGCGGTGGGTCAAAGAGCTGCCTTCACCCCCAGTCTCAGTTCCTTAAGCCCAGGTTTATGTGCTTTGGCCAAAATAACACTTGGAATCTGCACTCACAATGTGTCGCTTCCCTGGCACTCCTCAGACTCTTGCCCTCAACATAACAGACTCAACAGGCCATCTGACCCTGGGCTGCCTCTCCAGTCTCAACTCCTGCCACTCTTTGTCTCCCGTTCCATGTACTCTACAGCAGGAGTCCCCAGTGCCTGGGCCATGGGCCCATAGCATTCCATGGCCTGTTATGAACCAGGCCACACAGCAGGAGGTCAGTGGCAGGCGAGCTCTGTCAGATCAGTGGAGACAGTAATCAAAGAAATGCAACCCTATTGTGAATTTCGCATGCAAGGGATCCAGGTCATGCCCTCCTTATGAGAACCTAAGGAATGCATGATTTTCTGAGGGGAAACAGTTTCATCCCAAAATCATCCCCCAACCACTGTCCGTGGAAAAGCTGTCTTCCATGAAACTGGTCCCTAGTGCCAAAAAGGGTGAAGACCACTGCCCTATACAGCACCCCATGAACTTCTTCCCATTTCTGGAACTCATTCTTCTACCTGCAGCATTCTTCCCCAACTTCTCTACCTAGCTAACTCTTACGTTTCTTCAGGTAGCTTTAAATTAATGTTCCTTTTCCCAGAAGGCCTTCCCTGACTCTACCACTGTGTGTGTGTGTGTGCAAATATGTATATACACATACATGTACATATACAAGTACACATAAACACAAATATATACATTTTTTCTGACCCATGGAGACATCTGGCCATTTAAATACTTTGGGGTGCATTTCCTAAAAACAAGAATGTTTTTATGTAAACCACCATATAATTATCAAAATCAGAAAACTTGAGATTGTTAAAATGCTATTACCTAACTGTAGTTCATATTCAAATTTTGCCCATTGTCCAATAATGCCCTTTATACTCTTTTATCTCCCCCTAGTGTAGGATTCAATCCAGGATTATGCATTACATTTAGTTTTTATTTTTAGTTTATTTTATCATAAAGAGTTCTTTTGTCCCTTTCTTGACCATTTACACTTGAAAAACACGGGCCAATTATTTTCTAGAATAGCTCCCCAATTTGAGGTTTTTTTAATGTTTCTACCATGAGAGTAACTTGTGTTCTTCTCAGTACATCATATGAGAAGGCAAGAGATGTCAGTTTATCCCAATATTTGTGATACTGTAACCATAATAGGTCCACTACCCAATGTGTGCAGCAGGCCAATATGCCAAGATGTCAAGTGGCTGGAGAAAGAGGTTTAATTTGAGGGCTGCTGAATGAGGAGATGGGCGGAAACCTCAAATCCATCTCCATGAGGAGTTTGAGACTAAAGTTTATAAGAGTTTTAGAACAGGCTGAAGAGTGAAGATTGTTGATTGGTCAAAGAGTGCAGAGTGAAATCATAGGACAGACAGAGGAAGAAACTGTGTTCTCATGCTGATTCTTTTCCTACGTGGAGTCTTCAGACTGGTTGGCATCAGCTGTTTCATTGGACTTTAGGATCTGAAGAATATCTGAAGTAATTCTTAAACAAAAACCTTATGATTCTAACATCAGAAACTCAATCTTAAAATTCTCATGACTCTAATGTCAGACATCCTATCTTTAGGAGCAATGGGGACACAAATGGCCAGGATCTAGTGACTTTCAGTTACAAGGAAGTACTGTAGGTCAAAGTACAGCCTGATTAATGCTTAGTTATAACTCTATTTCTGTTCAGAATTCTTGTTAGCCCTGTGAGGACAGCTTCAATACTTGCTTTGATCTCTGTTATATGGTGGTGTCTGCCACATTTCTCCACTAAAAACTCATGCTTTTTATTGTCATAATGAATAGCATTGGGGGAGGATACTTTGAAACTATAGAAATATTTAGTTCCTCATCAAACTTTCATTCACTAATTTGGCATCCAAGTTATAACTGCTTTATTTTTAAGGAAGTTCATTTTACATGGTTAAAAAAACATAAAGAATCTTCTTATGATCAATGGCCTTTTAATCATACTCCACCTAAAACAACATTTCCCACATCAATCCGATCTCTTCATTTAAAAAGATTTTACCATCTAATAGTGAGAGAAATCTGATATGGATGGCATTAACCAAGGCAAGATTTCCCATTTGCATTTTCAACACTATTCATGAATTATCTTTTCATTTCCTTTTCCTTTGCAGTAAAAAAGAAATTCACAAAGGTGCATTTTTTATAATAAAAAAGAAGATATACAGTATCATTTCCCACTTGCTAAATGTCATAATATTGCTTTTGGTCACATTATGATAGGAATCCCTAATTGCATTTACCTTTCCATTCTTGCTACAAGGGCTTACTTAGTCTCTGAAGAGCTTCCTGCAGCCTTGGGGTCTGTGGATTGAAAATCGGTTGGATTGATGAAAGCTCTGAGGAGAATTATGATGAGGGTCAGATCGTATGGGCATCAGGAAATAAAAATATTACCATTTAAACTGGAAATAAAACTTTTTTCCCTAAGTGATCATATCTACCATGACAGGCTGGGTTATTCACTGTAAGATTAACAGTACTTGACATTCACTCATCCACTTAATCAAAAGAAAATTATCCTGTGAGCCTACTACATGAGAAGGACCATTATATACAACTTCTAACTTTATAAAATGTATCTTTGAATAATATCCTTCTGGATCTTTAAGCAAAATCTGGCCAAAAAGAACCTTGAGTTTGCTTACAGGCTTTATTCAAAAGAGCTCAGAAACTGGAAACTCCCAGGCAAAGCAGCATTTCTTTGCTACCTGGGCAGATCATCTGCTTGATTGAGTAATTAGTTTCAGAAACCACCAAATGGAGTGGAGAGAAGGGAAGGGACCCCTTATCCCCACCGCCAGCCATCTAGATTAAGAAAAGCCAGTTGGCTGGACAGTAGCACAGCCCAATCACCTCATGGTCAAATTTCCTAGGAAAGAATCTGTCCCCTCTATTCTACTTATCAGTCTCCTTTGAGTTTCTGGCCTCAGGTGAGTTTCTGCAAAACGTCATCAGTATCAGAAAATGTTAGAGCCAAAGAAAAGGAATAGATACATTTTCCTTTGTTTTAAGACATGTCCCAATATATTTTTCTGTACCATCCAATTTGTTCCTCCCAAAAACCTTGTGGGAAAAGCATAGTAAGAAGAGTGCTCCTCATTTCACAGTGAGGAAGCTGGAGATCAGCTGAAGGTGAAGAAACAGTTCCACACTAAGGACTGAACCAGAGCTAGACTTCTGACCTGCAGGGTCATAGCCCAGCAAGCCATACTGTAGCCATCCCTGACAGACCCAGCTAGGCCAACAGCACGTCCCACCCACCTCAATGCTCCCATGGCACATATCGCAGTATTAGCAGCATATTATTTATGTGATTATTTGTTTAGTGTGTCTCAGCCTAGAACATATGGATTCTAACATCAGAAACTCGATCTTAAACAAAATCCTTATGACTCTAATGTAAGAAATCCTATCTTTAGAAACAACAGGGATGCAAATGGTCAGGATTTAGTGACCTTCAGTTACAAAGAAGTAGGTCAAAGTGTGGGTTGAGAATATTTTCAGTGTCTTCCCCGCATGGATGGTCCACCAGTGAACAGGCAAATATGCTGCATGCTTCTCCTAAACATAGTTCCTCCTGTGTCTGTTTTCAGACCTTAGCCTGCCGCTGGAAATGGCCCTCTCAGTGGACTCATCATGGCATCGGTGGCAGTGGAGAGTCAGAGATGGCATCTCCCATTGTCCATCAGAAACCACACCGCTGCTCTCTCCAGAGAAAGGGAGACAGAGCTACAACTTGACACAGCAGCGGGTCGTGTTCCCCAACAACAGCATATTCCATCAAGATTGGGAAGAGGTCTCCAGGAGATACCCCGGCAACAGAACCTGCACAACCAAATACACCCTCTTCACCTTCCTGCCCCGGAACCTCTTTGAACAATTTCATAGGTACAGATCCACTTGTCTGAACAATACCCACCCCCCCTTTTTTTTTTAGAGCGAGAGAGTCTCATTTTGTTGCCGAGGCTGGAATGCAGTGGTGCAATCTCATCTCACTGCAACCTCAAACTCCTTGGCTCAAATAAGCTTCCTACCTCAGCCTCCCAAGTAGCGGAGACCACAGGTGTGCACCACCATACCTGGCCAATTTTTGTGCTTTTATATAGATACGGAGTTTTGCCACGTTGCCCAGGCTGGTCTCTAACTCCTGGGTTCTAGTGATCTGCCTGACTCAGCCTCCCAAAGTGCTGGGATTATAGGTGTGAGTCACACCCAGCCAACAATGCTTATTGTAATCAAGTATTTGCCACTTAGATAAACTCAGAGATGCTCCCCTCTGGGGCCACCTTTCCTTTAGTGTCCAAATGCATTTATCTTAAGAAGTTTTTGTCATTCATTCTTTCATTCAGCCAATATTTGTCAGGGCTCTACTCTGTCTCAAGCCATGGGTTGGGAGCTAGAGATACATAAGAAAAATAGAAAGGCAGAGAGATAGTGTCCTTGTTGAATATATTGTCTAGTAAAAGAGACAGACATTAGTTTTTTAATTGTGTAAATTGATATAAAGTTGTAACTAGAATAGATACTTCTAAGAAGAGGTATGTGGTGCTATTATAGTGAATAATAAGGAAATCTTGCCTAGTTAAGGAAGTCAGGGAATTGAAGTATAGCCTGAAAGAGAGACAGCATTACCTCAGTGAAAAGGGACAGAGAGAAGTCACCAGAATGTTCCTGCAAAGGCACTACGGCAAGGGGCAGCAAGATGCATGTGGAAAACTTAAAAACATCAGCAACTCTTTTGAGATAATGTATGAGACCATTATAAAATATGTGCTTACACATCCTCAGTATTGTAATTATTATTATAAGTGACTGTTTACTGAGCAACTGCTTTGCTTCAGAGCCTTCTACTGTGTATCACGCAAATATTATATATACCATGTAATTTTTATGGGAGCCCTGCAAAGTCAATAATACTATTTTGAGCAAGAGGAAATAAGCTCAAAAATCACACAACTAGTAGATAACAGGAACAGTATTTAAATCTAGATGGTTTGCCATTTCTGAGAATAATCGTCTCCAATCTCATCCATGAGAATGACAAAAAGGACTTTGGGGACTCGGGGAAAGGATGGGAAGGGTTAGAGGGATAAAAGGCTATAAATTGGGTGCAGTGTAACCCCTCTGGTGATGGTGCACCAAAATCTCGCAAATCACTACTAAAGAACTTACTCATGTAACCAAACACCACCTGTTCCCTAATAACTTATGGAAATAATTAATTAATTAATTTTAAAAATTGAGATAGGTTTGGCTTCAAAGCCATTACCATAATGTTTGAAGTGATACTGAAATAGAATGTTTAGTTGATAAAGGCCAAACAGTAGGGAAGAAATGGGGGAGAAAGTACACTTTTCTTCTCCATAGTGTTTATTCACACTTCGCTTGCCCCTCCAGGTGGGCTAACGTCTATTTCCTGTTCCTGGTGATTCTGAACTGGATGCCCTCCGTGGAAGTCTTCCACAGGGAAATCACCATGTTACCATTGGCCATTGTCCTGTTTGTCATCATGATCAAGGATGGCATGGAGGACTTCAAGAGACACCGCTTCGATAAAGCCATAAACTGCTCCCACATTCGAATATATGAAAGGTAAGAGAAAGCATCCCTGTGTTCTCTCTTGCAATTGGGTTATGCAAACTCATCACTATCGCCTAAGGATGAGCCTCTTTTCTTCCATTATATTTTCTTCAGTTATTTAATGCACTGATTCTCAAGTGGGGGTGATTTTGACCCCTAGTGGGCATTTAGTAATGTCTGGAGACATTTTTGGTTGCATACTGAATGTTGGGGGTTCTACCGACATCTAGTGGGTAAAGCCAGGGGTGCTGCTAAATACCCTATGATGCACAGGACAGCCCCAGAGAAGAATTATTGTCCTGTCAAAATGTCAATAGTGCTGAGGCTGAGAAACCTTGTTTTAACTTGTGTAAATACTCATGTTATTAAGCACACACATGCAGTATTATTAAGGGTGAGTTGAAAGCTTAAGAATTAAACTCTAGAGTGGCTGGATTCTCTTGGGAGACTAAGTTCGGGAGAAACTCTTTGGAGGATGTCAGGCAATGTCTCCCAAACCAAGAAAATGTCTGCCATTTTAAAGCCTCAATTTCTTAAGTTAAAAATTCTTGCTTTTAGAACCAGGTAGGTTTTAGGACCCAGAGTTGGTACACCTGTTCTTGGCTGCCCAGGGTGGAAAAGGAAGACACCTGTGGGTGACGTCTACATTCCAACAGGTGGAGTCTCAAACGAGTAGAAGGAAGTGGCCTGGTAGATACACACCTGTTCACCGCAGGCTTCTTCCTTGTCATGTTTCTCCTCTGGGGTGTGCAGCCTGGCATTTCATTTCTGGTATCCTTCTAAAAGAAGAGAGAAAAGTTTTCAGCAGAGAAGGCAAGTAAAAGATGAAAATTAAATTATGAGAATTAAAAAGACAACACTGAGCAGAGATGAAAAAGGAAGGGAGGAAAAGGTGGAAAAGAAAAGAAGACAAGAAACGGGTGGTGGTGTCTAACCTGCCCTTTGAAGGATGGTCTCACAAAGAGAACCCCAACAGACATCATCGTGGGAATCAAATCAAGACCAGCAAGTACACCGTGTTGTCCTTCATCCCCAAAAACATTTTTGAGCAGCTGCACCGGTTTGCAAATCTCTATTTTCTGGGCATTGTGATTCTGAATTTTGTCCCTGTGGTCAACGCTTTCCAGCCTGAGGTGAGCATGATACCAATCTGCATTATCATGGCAGTCACCGCCATCAAGGACGCTTGGGAAGACCTCCGGAGGTACAAATCGGATAAAGTCATCAACAACCGAGAGTGCCTCATCTACAGCAGGTAAAGCAAAAACACTCCAGGGAAGTCTTGGGGCCCAGCTTGATCTTTCTATGGCTGCTACCACTGCAGTTACTGTTTGTAGAAGGGATGGAGTAGGGAGAAATCATTATTTTATTTCAGGGAAGCTGTTCAGTTCTTTGCAGTGAGGATTACAGTCTACAATCCAAAAAAAAAGGAGGATTGAGTCAGTCATTTAAGATTAGGAGGCCTTTATTATGTAGCATTTTCTTTGCTGTTTCAAATGTGTCTAACATTGAAGAATTTTGTATAGATTCACATCTCTTCTTAACCCAGTGTGGCCATGAGCACATTTGAGGCTGTGTGAGGACACTGGGAGAGAAAAGGCAGCACTGTTTTTCCGGGGAGCGATGGAGTATTGGGTTGGGAGAGCCAGAAGACACGCTGCCTGGTTGAACAGCCTCGAGGACCTACTAACTGCGTGACCTTAGACAAGTGATATAACCTTCTCTGAAGCTCACTTGGTACTTCATAAAAGTTGAACAATTCCTGGGGTGGATGTGAGAGTTGCAGGAGATAATTCTTAGAAAATGCTTAGCACCGTATCTGACATACAACAAATGCTCAGTAAATGCAAGCTGAAATTGCATTATTTTTGGAATGTAAAACCCAACATTTCCTTCATCACTAACTCTGTTTTTGAGAGTTCTCTCTGATGTTGTCTCAATGAAAACAAAGGCTGCACACGACCTGTCCTGAGGCTGAGAATCCTTGTTTTAACTTGCGTAAATGCTCATATTATTAAGCACACAGGTACAATCTTATTAAGGGTGAGTTGAAATCTTAAGAATTAAACTCTAGGGTGACTGGATGATCTAATGTCATTAGACATTTATTTAATGTCATTTTATACATGTCATTGTTCTAGAAAGGTTTCATGGAGAAAATGACTAGGTTGTCAGGACAGGACGTGCTCTCACTTGGCAAGGAAAGAAGACAGTTAAAGTGTGTCTCAACTTTGTGACAACCCACATAGTCCTAAAAGAAGCAAGGGAGTTGAGTCTGGGCTCACAAAGAGACTAGAGAGACAAAGCACCTTCAGAGCTAGCGGTTGGCATCCTAAGATGATCAAGTCTCTAGGAGGTAAGAGCTTGACTTCTTGCTGAAAAAGGAAAACATCCATGTCTCACAAGAAGCACCCTGGGTGAGGTTTTCCCTCTGACTCTCCGCCCCAGTTTAGCAGATGTTCCACATTGGCTGTGGTCTTTATTAGAATGAAAGAGGCTTGCTTGGAGGTATGTACTCCAGCCATTTAGGAACTGCTTACTTCTAAGGAGGGGATCTCTTCTCCAAGGGAATGAAAGCTGGCCAGCTTGGAGCAGGCTGCTCTAAGGATTTATGAGCCAAACTCTACTCGGGAAATTATAGCCAGGGGAAACCTCCAAGATGAATATCTAATACAATGACTTTTTAGATGGTATTTGGCAATATTATCAAGAACCCCTGCAAGAAACTCCATGTTCATCCCTCAACAGGAAATGAGCTTCTAGTCTCTTTGCTTGGAGAGACACAGTTGCACATTTAGAAAAATTATTCTGAGGGGGCCGAGCATGGTGGCTAACACCTTTAATCCCAGCACTTTGGGAGGCCAAGGTGGATGGATCACAAGGTCAGGAGTTCAAGACCAGCTAAGATGGTAAAACCCTGTCTCTACTAAAAATACAAAAATTAGCCAGGCACAGTGGCAGGTGCCTGTAATCCCAGTTACTCAGGAGGCTGAGGAAGGTAAACCACTTGAACCCCAGGGGCGAAGTTTGCAGTGAGCCGAGATTGTGCCATTTCACTCCAGCCTGAGCAACAAGAGCAAAGCTCTGTCTCAAAAAAAATAAAGAAGAAAGAAAAAATAATCTGAAGGGTAAATTTTTTCAGCTATATCTAATTGTCTTGAATTATATGAGCACACTGGCCATCAGAGTTAAAATTTAGTCTTTCCTCACCTTTGAGTATGAAAGTTATAAAGAGGATGAAATCACTTCTGGGTGTGATGCCTTTCTTTGAAGAGGCGGTTTTTGAGAAAGCGTTGTTTTTCTTTTGGCATCGATCTACCATCACTTTTTGTTTTCCACCTTTCTCTCTTGTTTTTTTTTTTTTACATGGAATACACACCGTGGTGAGCCAGGAAGCTGGTTTCTCAGGGAGGAATGCACGTGGGCCGCAGTGAGCCTGGCCCTGTTCTTCTCGCTCTGCCAGAACATCGCAAAATCTTGGCCTTGTTCTTTGGAATAATCTCAGTGTGGATTAGACCACAGGCTCACCTGTGCTGGGAGTTGGCTGGAACTAGGCCAGGCTGCTGTTGTTCTGTTCTCAAAATAGCTTCCAGGGAACATCAGAAAACCGAGATGATAACAACCTAGAAAAAAGAAACATTAGTCCACCAGCTCACTGGCAGGAAGGAACATGGAGTTTTCATGGCAGTATTTCCCAAAGTGTATTCAATGGAATAACAGTGACAAAGAAATAGTCTCTGAAAAAGTATGTGCATGGCCAAATCATATATGCTGGCCCTCCTCCGATGGATCCATAGCCCATGAAGGACTAAGAAAAGAGACAGCAAAGAAACCTGTTTGTCTTTGATTAACTCAGTGTTCCTTTAAATTTACTGGACTTTGGAAGTATTTTTTAATATCTGTGTTTGGGAATTTTTACTTTTTCAAGTATAGAAAAATAATTGGCTATAGGGTCCAGATATGTTATTTGATTGACTGAATATTTTCTACAAAGCAACACGACTCATGGACTGATAAATGACCAATGACACTTGGCATTAGTGTTAGGATGCAATAGGGAATAGCGGTGACTGTGGCAAAGTGGAGTGGCCATGCATTCATCCCAGGAGGCAGTGCTGACCACTTAGCTCCTGCTAATCATTATTTTTGAGAAATATATTTGTGGAAATATAGACCTAGTGTTGCCAGATTGTCTCAACTTTATTAGAACAGCCAGAAATTAATATTTTTATTTCAAATAACCTGACTTTTAACTGATTTTAGAATATTTGGTAACTGATGTAATTTTTTCAAACACTTCAGACCCATTTTACTGAACCTAAAGCTCTATATTGCTTATGAGTGCAAAAACTTACAAACTTTGCTTCAAAATATTCTGGAAATCTGGAGTCTCTGTGAAAGAACAATAAGGTTCTTTTTTTGTTGGTGATTTTTTCAGATAGATGGTAGGGGCAGGGGTCTTGGTATACATTGCCCAGGTTGGTCTAGAGCTTGGCTTGAGGACTCCTCTTGCTTCAAGCTCCCAAGTAGGTAGAATTGCAGGCATGCCATCACTTCTGGCCCTAGATTCTTCTTTTGAAATTTATCCTCAAGGGACAGAGAGGGGGTATGACCTTGCGGTAAGAATGCAGGCCTGGGAGGCCTGTAGTCTAGGCCCAGATCTCAGACTAACTATGAATAGCTTAGAAAAGTTATTTAAACATATAGACCTCAGTTTCCTCTTGTGAAATTCAGGAGCCAAACTAGATCTTGTTCTGTGAGATGCACTAAGAAAGAACAGAACCTATAGCCAAATAAATTCACACATTAATAGAATAAAGGTTCTGGGATGACCCTCAATCATCAGCCTATCAGTTTTGTTTAACCCAGCTGTCAGTTGAGATGTTCTCTGCCACAAGTAGGAGAGACTTCCACTTTAACAGATTTAAGCAACAAAGGGACTTCTTTGGCTTAAGTCACTACACATGTCCTGAGGTGGGAGGGTGACCAGCATGGTTCAATCAGCATTCTAG